GATTTTCTTTGTTTTTATCATCTTACAATTTGCGCTGTGGGCTGTACCATTAGCGCGGGGGTGTGGCCGCGGACTGTTTCACAAACGCTTAACATGGCTTAATGTATCCTACTAAAACAGTGACACTGGAGGACACAACTTATTAATAATAAACATAGGCTACTATTTACAGACAAGCTAGCCCAGAATATGAAGGAGATTTGCGCTAAATTGCACGTTAAGTGTCAGAATATGAACGAGCAAAGTTTCACGTGAAGCGATTTCCTCCCATGGAAAACTATCTGCCACACACACACACACACACACACAACCACCGGAGATGTAGGCCACACCCCCGCGCTAATGGTACAGCGCAAATTGTAAGATTAAAAAAAGGGAAAAACAGAAAATGGTTTAGATTTTGTTTTATTCAAATGAGCATTTTTGAAGTCAAAATTTAGCAAAAGTAAAATTGAAAAAAGGAGAGAAAACAGCCATTATTAATTTATGAAGTAACTGAAAAAAATGAATGTTTGGTTTCATTTTTGCATTCGCACCATATGGTCTGAAAATTAAATTGTGAAGCGTTACATGGACCAGACACCACACCAAGAATTGTACAAGTTCACCTCAATAATTTCTCAGCCTTAGTCTGACAACACATGGCTTTATAGAGCTTGTGGGAAAATTTTCAAATTAGTTATGAGTTTGACTGAAGATGCTAAAACATTCACTACATTCACCAAACTAAGAAATTGAAAAATTGTGATGGATAATCTTTGTATTTGACAATGAGGTTGTATGTACCTGATACTTTTGAACTACAATGATACATGTTACATTGATGCTTATTCTTACTCCATAAGTATGTAATGTCAGCAACTGATTCTGTCATTCTCTTAGGATGCTTATTTATGACTCCTATTTATAGCACACCTAGAGAACAAAGTACTTAATACTTGTCATTCAGTTTCAGTGTACAATATTTGACTTCTTTTATTGCCTCTATCATCTTAATCATTCTTATAGCAGATAAAATGTTACACAAATTCAGTTGTTTTTTACTTTGTCATCAGATGCTTGTGATTGCTGCCATTGAGCCCTGTGGCCTGATGCACTCTGATCCTCCACACCCCATCATACAAACACCTGCTTTCTCCAGTCTACAGCCTGTTCAGTCCCCTAAAACCCCATCTCGGCCTTCTACCTCAGACATGAGCCCAAATTCCAGCGTTTCTTCTCCCTCAGTTGCATCTCTTATTCAGCCTGACTCTAGTTCTAATGCTGCTGATCATATTAGCCAACTCGATAATACATCAAGCAGTTCACCTCTTGTGCCTAAAATGCCTGAAACACCCACACCAAGATCCTTACAGACAACAAGAAGCCCAAGCCAACTGCAGTCAGAAGCAGAACCAACAGTGTCCAGTCCTATTTCCACTGGTCCAGTGTCACCGTCAGTCTCCCCAAATAAGCACAATCAAGTTAATTTGGAACTGTTAGATCATGATTACCTATGCAAACCAAGAATGCTGAAGAGTGTTGTGAATTTTGACAAGATTTATCAATATCTAAGTGACATTGACTCCAAAACCTGCAATTCAGCTCTTACTTCAATGGGTACGCATTGTTAAATTATACATTTTGCATATAATATGCTGTTATGATGTTAAAGGGGTCATGAACTGAGAAATCTAAATTCCCTTGATCTTTTGACATATAAGAGGTCATTGTACCATAAAAACATCCTGTAAGTTTCAGAACTCAAAAACTTTCTCGTTAGTCTAAAAACAGCTTATATTGAAGTCAATCTGCCAAAACGACAGGTTGTGAAATGTGCCACTTTATGACGTAATAGTGTGGCTAAACCCCGCCTCCGATTCATGCATGTAGTGTAAATAATGAGAGAGGTATACGCAGAAACCAAACGATAAAGATGCTCCAAAAACAACAAGATGCAGTGCTAAGTTGTGGAAAAACAGTTTTTGCATTGCCTTCCTTCTGATCTCAACATTAGGAAAGAGTGGATGAACTTTATTTTTAATGTAGTTCCAGACCGTGTCAGTAAGAACTTTGTCCTTTATTCACTTAATTTTACTGTGGATTCTTTTACAAACAAGGCACCATTCAATGCAGGATTTTCAGAACGATTGAAAGTAAAAGACGATGCAGCAAAATCACAGCAGCATCCATCAATGAAGGATGTAGGCTGTCAAACATACACAACTGTTAGCCAATCATAGCAGTTGGCGTTTACTTCTGAGTCTACAATCCACCACACCTATTCAAACAGAGCGTTCAGGACAGAAAATAGCCTATCTTCTCAATTATGATGTTTTTTGATGTAAAAAAAATGTATAACATTATAAGTGGACCTCAGAGAACAGTGCAAAATAATAAAAAGGCAGTTCATGACCCCTTTAAATACTGCAATAAATTACATTCTTCATGACCATTTTACACATTTTTCCAGGAATGTGGAAATTTGATCAACTTAAAAGCATAGTTCACCCAAAAATGACAATCTACTTGCTTACCATCTTGTTGTATGGCATTCTTTCTTCTGTAGAACACAAGGATGTTATGTCTTTAAAAATATATATATATATTTTTTTGCCCTTACAATGAAAGTCAGTGAGGATCAGTGTTGTTTTGGACCCCACTGACTTTCACTTTATCTACAAAAACATTTTGGGTGAACTATCCTTTTTAGATGTATGAACAGAACTTTTTTTTTCTTTTCTCATATTTTGCATATTCCATCCGCAGAGAGTGCAGTGCTGTTGGATATGCTCATGTGTTTGCCTGAGGAGCTCTCCTTACTGGACTGCAAGGAACTTCAACATCATTTTCTCCAGTTACACTCACAGCTCACCAAACCTGCAGAAATGCCAGCTTCCTCTTCAAACAGTGACGGGGACGTCCTACAGGCTAATGTAGCTGATGCTACTGCATTAACACCCAAACTCGGGCCTACTACGGGATCCACTAAAGAGCCCTCCAGTGAGTCATCTGTCACAGAACCAGCAAAGGACAAAAAGGACAAAAAAGACTGGGCTACAGCTGGCACCTGTCCTCTCAATCCTTTGTTAGTTCCGGTAGCCTTGCTGAAAAGATTGGCCCTAGATTCTGAGAAATGATATGCTTAGCCAGTCTCAGGCTTTTCAGAATTCAACTAATTAACGTTCCGTGTGGGTCTTATGTTTCACTTTGCTACAGGTTCAGATGTTCTTTTGCCTGGAAAATGTGTGCATATTAAGTATTCATACTGTTATATTGATATGTAATAAATATATTTAAATTTCAGAATGATTCTGTTAAAATAAGTTTGCTGTAAAAAATAACCAAGACATAAAAAATTCAATGAATGTGCTGAAGAATGAATCGTATTTTAAGATTTCACTCTTCCTAAACTGAACTGCAGCTGTACTGATGCCCTTAAAGTGATGGCTCTCAAAAATCACCCTCCTAAGTTTAATATTTCCCTGTGGCTTCCACTACTGTTGTCAAGTCATAAAAATAAGAATATATTAAAAACTAGAGAGGAATGGAATTTTGTTTTGTCAAGTGAACAGCATTTTAGTTCAAAGTTTGGAGTTCAGTCTGATTAACAAAACCTGGTTGCCAAGTGACCAAAACAGTGGAACATATTCCTGGTTTAGTAAATATTTCCTTTTAGCATAACTTTTAAGATGCAGTAATACATTTTTTTTAAAGAAAAAATGTTTACTCACCCTCATTCTGTCCCAGATGAGAATATTCATTTCTTTTGAGTGGAATATTTGATATTTTCCTTTTTTATTAGGTTAGTTTCATAAATCAGAATGGTTTTGATAACCTTTTGTCATGAGGACCTTGCCAGGGATGGCGCTTGCCAAGTTTCATGCAAATAGAAACAACAGCTCAGGAGGAGTTAGAAAAGGTAGGTTTTCCATAAAAATTCTAAATAGTGGAAGAATGTCCTGAGTTAAACTAAATCAGATGTATGGATTCTCTGAGCTTGGCTCAAGGATTCAGAAGCCCTTACAGTTCCAGAATGATGAACCAAAATTCAAATGTACTTGTAGTGCAACCTAATGTCTGGCGGTTGTGTAAAGCGGTACCTGAGTAGAATTAGATTGCCTTTATTGTCATCTCGTGGGGGGGGATTTGGAACCATCCCACCAAGATCTCTGAGAATTATGGTCTTTGGTGCAGAAAAAAATATTATAAACAAAACGGTACACAAACAGAAGGGTTTACCCCTAGTAAAGCATAACCTTTAGAGTGAGTAATATGTTTACACAATGACCCATGAGTCTCATTGCACCACAGAGATCTAGATACATCAAGTTAAGTGATGCTACCATTTGTAACATTTCTCAATACTGATGGCAGCGCAGCTGATTATCAGTTTCTTTTTCCTGTTCTGTTCTATGTGTGGCGTCGCACCCAACATCTGTATAACTAACCATCCAGCACATTGTTTGACATGCTGTTGATGATAAGATATCTGAGATAAAGCAGCTCACTTTGTGAAACACTAGGCTAAAATACACACACACACACACACACAACTTTTTGGAAAGTTGAAATCACAATTTGAAAGCAATTATCTTAAAATAAGACTAGCGTTTTTTAAATGTTGAGGATAATATTCAGTATTGCCAAAGTAATTAAATCTCTAAAAAAAATGTAACAATGTAATCTGAAGGGAATAAATTGAGGGGTAGAATATACAGTAAGGAAGCCCCATTAACTGTGCTTTTGTTGTGTCTGTGAATAGGAAAACATTAAAAAGTACTGAAAAGAAGAGGCATGAAAGTAATTGGGAATGCTGTTTTGTGAAGATTCTCTGCCCCTCTTTGCAAGCTCATGATATTTGGTGTTTTCTTATAGAGCAATACACAATAGCTCAAGAATATCACTTCGTTGTTCATGTATTTGATTGCATTCACAGAGGAAAAAGACAATAAAACAAACAACTGAGAATATAATTTATTTTAACATAAGCAAGTGTCAATTTACAAACAATGTGTGGTGTATAATGATAATAAATAATTTGTGGTTAATATGTAATTTACAAAGCAGTTTATATTAATGCAATGTCATTATGAATAAAAATAATAAGAAATTATACCTAAAGGAGCAATAAAGTAAAACCTATAAAAAAAGATAACTACTAGTTATCTAATTTTACTACATTGATTATTTTAATAACTTATCTGAAGATAAGCAGGGCATAGCTGAAGTTCTACTGCTTCTCGTCATCATGTGATAAAACACAATATGGTCAGATAATGTTTGTCACATCTGAGGTACAGAAAATATGCATAATTGTACAACTGCTAAATTGAATGGTATAAATAGCAACTGATTGAGTTTTGATGGATCAAGACTGCGTATTTATAAACCAAACAATATATACATTCAGTATGTCCACACACATAGAATATTAAATATCAAAAGATGAACGGATCTGAGGTCTGTCCATTTTCATCTGTTAAGAGCAAAACAAGGAATGAGGAGTTATAGAAAAGCCATGACGGCGATGCTGTTACAATGCTTGTATTCCATTGAATTCAACAGAAAAAAATAATTGGTTATTTGTAACGAGTACCTTCTATGGAAATATGTAATTGTGTAAAGGTCAGAAATTAAAATGTGTCTTTTCTTTATTAACCAGATAAGATAAATAAGTAAATTAAGAAAGATAATTATAGTGAAGCCCTGTTGCTGGGTGTAGTAGCTTAGTTTTGTATACTGACTATTTGTAAGAACAGCATATGTTGCTAAGTGTATATTTGTGTATCCTCTCAGTACTCACAGACTGATCCCTCTGAAGATACCGGAGATGAATACCAGGTTCAGGTGAGAAATTCTGGGTGTAAGAGAAATCTGGTTTATAGTTTCCGAAACTGTCCTGTGTATGTCTGCCTCCTGGTGCGTATACTGGGTTATCATATCTGTCAGCTGGAAATACAAAAAAAAGTATGTTGATTAATCAGAGACTTGTTAAAATATCAAATGAATATCCCATGAAGAAAAAAAGACTACAATGCTCTTAGGCTACGTTCACACTGTCAATGTTTGGGATTGACAACCGCATTTTCTCTACAGGCGTGAGTCTCGAAATGTCCCGTTCACACAGCAGCTTACAGTTGTGTTTAGAATACTGTCTGTATGAACGTGCATTACCAGTAACCATAGCGACAGTGACCAAAGTCAAATCAAAGATGGCGACGTCCATAAAACTGAAAGTCGTATCACTTTCTGACAGGACAAGAGTCCAATCGAGCCGCGAGTTATTTAGTCAAATCTTCATTAACCAACGTTTACATTTTGGTGGAGAGCGGAGCATTTGAATCGCGCGCAGAACACAAAACTGACGGGAGCGGCTCCGGTGGAAAACTGACGGGATCTGAAACGTTCAGATGACACGCAGCTCATGTCTCCATCACTGTATGTTACCGAAAACAACGGTTGTCCAGTCCGGTTCCGTTCACACCTGAAAGTCCTTTTCAGGACTTTTTTTACAGGTGTGAGTTCGGTTACAGAATGCGGTTGTGAGTCCTGAAAATTTACAGGTGTGAGTTCGATTACAGAATGCAGGTGTGAGTTCGGTTACAGAATGCGGTTGTGAGTCCTGAAAATTTACAGGTGTGAGTTCGGTTACAGAATGCGGTTGTCACACCCGTAAATAACCAAAATGTGTGTGAACGTAACCGTATTAAGGACTCACAGGACTGACAATCGTATTCTGCTGCTGTGTGAACATGGCCATAATATACATTTGTTGCAGCTTGCTTAGTCTAGTCTTAATCAAACTCACCAAGAAACTACTGAGTATGCTTAGATCCTAAATATGCACTGTGCATCTTTACTTGTGAAATTAACAGCACTTCACACACAGGCTGTCAGGCCAAATATAGTTTTACTGCCCCATCCTCTCTTGGCAAGTTTATATTACATCACAACAGGTTCACAAAATATGTAATTTAACATTTTTTTTTCCATTTTGGAATAATATACTGCATCTATGATTTATTCAGGTTAATTCCAAGTATTTATCTACCTAATTTACTTAGAACAGTATGGTTAATTTTAGAAAACTGTGCACAAAAGGTGAATGGTTCAAATATTCAGGTACCACTTACAGGTAATAATTATTGAATGATGCCGAAAATTTATAGTTTTTTGTTTTGTTTTGTTTTTTGCTACCTGTGTTTGATGTTTTATTTTGTGGTGGCCATTCAAAGTCATCCTCTAACCATTCTTTCACTAGCTCTTGCTTAATGTCCTTGTTCCTGTGAGACAGAAATAAAGTTATGGACAGGAAGGCATAAAAACACATTTATTCATGAAAACACCCTCTTTCTTTCCCGATACACATACCACATTGATATAGCCATGTAAATAAGAGATTTTTCACAGATTTTTAGGGGGGCTGTTTTGAATTGCATAGGATGGTAGCCTTCATATACTGTATTTCAGGAGTACAGTTAAATAATCAAATAATATTAGAAATGTGTCAAATTAACAGTAAACTGCTCCAGGCAGCCTGCTTTTCTGGTCTTGAGAGTGGCCAATCAATTGTTATTTCAGAGCATTTGCTGAACAAATCTGCTGTTAGGTTTGTCTGCAAATCCATCAGAACATAATGATCTTGCCATGATCTTGTGTTCACAGGGCCCGAACAGCTTGCTATCATCAACGGAAACATGAATTTTTACAATTTTACATGCATTCTGCTGGCCATCTGTCTGCTAACTGATGATCAACAGATGACAGGTGATGCCTGATCAACGATCCAAAGCACAGGAGTAAATTATTCTGCAGTAGAAAACATGCCTTCTGAAGTGTCCCAATCAAAGTCCTCCTGACCTTAACATGATTGCATTGCCTTGGCATGTCCTCAAAACCACATGACACCAGACATCACAAGTACATTGCTGAACTGAAGCAGTTTAATAAAGTGCATGAAATTACTTACCTCTTCACCGTCCGTTTGTTTATAATGAGATAAGCTGTCAGGAATGCTACAGTTATTACTGCTATGGCTGCCACTGTTCCCAATCCAGCATAAAATCCAACTTTGTGCACCTGTAAATTGCAATCCGCTCCCAAGTACCAGAAGTCATCATTATAGCGGCAACTAGAGCAAAAATGCATTGTAAGTCCTTTTAAATGTTCAGAGAAACATCGGCATATTTTTGTGCAACTTTTGCTTTTGTTTCATTTAAATCATTCCAGTTTCCAGCCCAGATCTTTAACCGATAAAGAAAGAAGTACCTCTCTTTGTCAGTCTAGAAAATGTAAAGAATATAAAAGTAAGCACATACTAGCAGGATGGGCCCTGACCAGAAACTTCACAGGTGCCGCTGTTCTTACAAATTTGCGGATCACTATGAGCTGCATTGCATGGAGTCACACATGTCACTTTGCCACTCAACGTAACTGCTTCAAAATACTTTTGGAAATCTGCAGGAAAAACTTCCGTAGCCTTGGCACACACCTCTTTGACTGTGGAAATAAAAAAAAATGCAGCAGTCATAGATAAAATAAAAATGAATAAATTACAGCATTCAGACACTTCAAAAATTCCTTGATTTGAATAAAAATTTTATGTTAATTTGGCCTTGTGCTTGGGACCATTCAATTATTGAAACTTCTCCTCTAAGATTTCCCTGTATTTTTCAACATCCATTATTTCTTCTCTTTTAACACAATGACCTATCATTAAACATTAAAAGCAACCTCACAACACCATGCAGCCAACACTGTAATTTGATGTAAATATGGTGATTTTAAGGTGTGGCCAGCATCAAATTCTCACTTGTTTTGGGTTTTAGCGGAGAAGCCATATTTTGGTCTCACTGCACAACAGCAACACTTTTCTGCATTTTGTATGTACTCCAAACATGCTTTCTTACGAATCTACTGTATTTATAGCAAAACTCCCTCCAATGACCTATGCATTTTTTTTTAGCTTCTTTTGTTGATTTCTGTACCTCCTCTTAGAACTATGGTTGAAAACTTATGCAGCATGTTTAAATATACATTCAGTATACATCAAACATTAAAACACATTCAAACTCATTTCAGTTATTTCAATAGTTCACTCAGTACTTAAAAAGTAAGAACATATTTGGTATAGAGTATATAATTTAATAAAATGAGACAACTAATTAATATTATATAGAATAACTCACTATTCTTCTTGCTCTTAGCACGATAAGTTAAATGAAAACTCACCATTGAGATCAGTCTTTGATGCAATGGCATTATTAACATCAAAGTCTAGAATTGGAAAAAAAAAATGAACAAACAGATTAATAATGTATCCAATAAAAATTTAGATCACAGGGAAAATGCATATGATGACCTACCTGAACCAGCTTTAATGTCAACAAGAACTTCTTTCACTTCCGTAACAATATTTTCATAATTCTCCTCATTTTCGTTGTTATTATCGATGTTAAAAAGGACATCATGCTCAACTTTCAGACTAAGAAAAAAAAGAAAAGGACAAAAATTACAAGTTTTAAAGAATTTTTTAATTGGTGTATTTTTTTGTGTTTATTTATAAATTTAGGTTCTCTTGGATTGGGTATAATACAAGGTTTGGATTGATTTATTATTTGAAAGAATTTGTTACTGTATACATGTTTGGTTTATAACATTTTGTACTGTTACCTTTTAGTTTCCTTCAAAGGCAAGCTTCTTCTTCTTCTTTGACTATATTGTTGTAATGGTCCACCAGCACTTTGACATGAAAAAAAAGAGATTGAATTAAGACTTAATAGTCAGATATTATAAGGGCATATTTGATATTTGTAATTACAAAATAGCTTGTGCTGTCAAAGTAGATGAATTACCTTAGAATTATGTTGTCCAAACGCAAAAAATTTTCTATTTTGTTTTTATATAAGGGCACCACCTATAATTGTATAAAATATATCTGTAATATTTCAAGCCAAAAAATGATGACCTCCACCGTCCAAAATACTGTTTGTGAAGGAGGTCTAGAACACTTAGGTCACTCTTAAAAATATTGCATAAGTAACAACTTATCATACACAGAGTCATCTGCAAACAAGTGATTAAAAGTTAGAGCTTTTTTCAAAATTAACGTAACTAACTTCACTTAAATTACTGCACTTTTAATCAACTGGTCATTTTTAGTAAATGTATGCAAATGTATTTTTTTAGTAAATGTATGAGGACACATCACCTAAAGTTTCTGGGCAATAATATTTAAGTGATCAAGCCATCTAAACAACAATACTTACTTTTTCGTTTAATTTTTCAACAAATGTTATATATGCATTTGATGATGTGTTTTCGTAGTCATCTGTAAATTTTTCATTTATTTCCATTGTAACATTGACTGTCCTTTCAATGATATCTAAAACAAAAATAGAGGAAATTTTAAGACAAATAAGTATATAATGTTCAGAATGTTTTTTTTAAAAAGTATAAGGAAGTGTAAAACTAATTAAAACTAGACAGGGCATCTGCCCATCTCATGTAGTCTAGTTGATGTGTTTTCTAACTAGGTTTCTGTTGCATTTACAAAACTTGGATTTATGCCATTATTTAACCACACATGCAGATTTGAAGACTTTTTAATGCACTAAATTTTAATTAATGAGACAAATATCACTGGAAAAACAACTGCAGTAACTTTAATTGTGGTGAATGTATTCTGAAGGCAAGACTAAAAATTATATTGTAGCAAAATTAATCCAGAGAAATTGGCATGTCAAGCCCACTCACTTTTGTGATGTGGAAATGCAGACAAGTTAATCATTAAATAATTTTTTTTTTCATTGCTACCAAAACTTAATTGATAGACAGACCTGGTACAATTTGAGTTTCAACAGTACTGCAGAGTCTCCCCGTAAAACCGTTCGGACAGAAACAAGCCTGATTGTTTGGTTGTGGAGTTCCACCATTTTCACACTCAATAGGTTTGGCAGTTGTGGTTTTGGTCGTTGACTGAGTAGAGCTTGTTGTTGGTGTTATAACATCTTTTGTAGTTGTGAAATCAGCTGTACTTGAGGCAGGATTTGGTGTAGATGCACTGTCTTCTGTCACAAGAGTGGTGTGAGCTGTAGTTGCATCAGGATCTGCTGAAGTTACAGCAGAAATCTCTGTTGTACTATCATCTGGAGTTATGGATGTTTCTGCTGTATTTGACGGTTCTTCTGTTCCTGTGACATCAATAGTTGTTGAAATATCTGATGAATCAGTGGTGTCAGCTGTAGTTGCATCAGGATCTGCTGAAGTTACAGCAGAAATCTCTGTTGTACTATCATCTGGAGTTATGGATGTTTCTGCTGTATTTGACGGTTCTTCTGTTCCTGTGACATCAATAGTTGTTGAAATATCTGATGAATCAGTGGTGTCAGCTGTAGTTGCATCAGGATCTGTTGAAGTTAAAGCAGAAATCTCTGTTGTACTATCATCTGGAGTTCTGGATGTTTCTTCTGTTGAAGGTGAAGGTGAATATGAAGTGAGATCTGCTGTGGAAACAGAAATAGTTCTTGTTATTGGTATAACACTGAGCCTATTTCTGCTGTACTCAGTGGAACATCTGTTGAAAATACCCTATATACTTGTTTCAACACAATAAGTTAACAGTATAAGCTTGTATAAGGAAACATAAAATAATCAGCACTTTCTATTCAGTTAATCTGAAATATCAATTACAATTTTGGGTTTGGATCCCATTTTGTGCTGACTGGATGTAAATGTGGACCATGATGATCATGCTCTCACGCACACTCCTGATAACCGGTTTTAATTGACAGCCATTATCAGAGGAAGAACTGACTGCGGGAACACTTTCTTAACAAACCAGTTATGAAACATGACTTGCTGAAAAGCATGATGTCAGCCTGCTCCTCCAACCGCCACTTACATGCTGCTTGTTCTGTGTGAAACAGGCCTAATGACTAAATCAACTGTAATATCTGTCTTAAATATTAAGTAATATATGGTAAAAATATCTGTTGTGTGAACTGTTCTAGGTTATACCAGGAGCCGGTTGCACCAGTTAGACGTAAAAAAGCTGGGTATAAGCCCTACACTGGGCTCTGCAACGTCCAGCTTTACGACAAATATGTATATCTGTTGCACCAACTAAAACTACGATCAGGCACAACTACGCCCGGCGTAGACAGTGCTCGTCCACGCTGACACATTCTCCCGCAGTGATGGCTGAGACGACATTCACAATGCAATGGCTACAACTACTAATATAAAACTGAATTGTTCAAGACATCATAACAAGTGAAGTCACCGCACCATGATTTTATTGAGTAAACATTTTCTAACAAGTCTCCCTGCACATTCTCATGACAGATTTCTTCAAATGAACATTAAAAATTAAGGCAGCAGTTTAAGTAAAATATAATTTATATTTAATTATTTTTTCTAGCTGACTATCGAGTTTATGTACAATGAATGTCTTTCCTGAGATAAATGTGACTTTACGTGACATTGTTTTACTGACGTCTTTCTGTGGCTGAAAAATCACATTTATAGTTTGTATTTTGTGATAAAACTGACAGATTTTGAAAGCTGATACTTTATTTCTAATTAAAAGTAACAAAGCTCAAAACTTACTGCGATTATTGGATGGCAGGCACGGCACACTGCAAATAATGAATGGAATTAAAGACGTGAAATATTTCCAAGCATTTATACCATCCTACCAAGCAAGATGTCGAATGGTACAGCTTCTTTAAATAATCCTAGATTATATGTAATATTTTACTGCATAATTACATGCTGTACAGAATAGTTTTTATTAGGTCAATTACTGTTGGCAGTGTGGTATAGTCTACACCGAGCTTCGCGATTGATATCGCTTAACCTGCCCGATTATAATTTGGGTGCAAAACATGTTTTTTATTGCCTTAACACTTATATCAGTATACTACTGTATAACATTAAACAGAATATTCCTTGAATTATACATCAACAGGAGAAAACAAAACAGTTTTATACTCTGTTAATTTATCAAAACAATGTAATATAAACAGATTGAACCGTGCTCCCACATAGTAATCAAACTGACCCCTGTACACTGTTGACCCCTTAAGCACGGGAGCAATGGGAATTTTTTTCTTACAAATAAATGTTAGAAATTCACTCGTGTACTTCCATTTAGCAAAATGCAAAATGCATAAATGTAAACGTAAATGTAGCAAAATGACTACATGTAAATGTAGCAAAAGTGCTCAACAAGTCACTGCAGGTTTAAGACACTATGTCAAGTTTTAAAGGGGTCATATGATGTGATTTCAATTTTTCCTTTCTCTTTGAAGTGTTACAAGCTCTTGGTGCATAAAGAAGATCTGTAAAGTTGGAAAGACTAAAGTCTCAAATCCAAAAAGATATTCTTTATAAAAGTTAAAGGGGTCATATGATGCTTTTTTAAAGATCATTATTTGGTGTATTTGGTGTAACAGAATATGTTGACATGCTTTAATGTTCAAAAAACACATTATTTTTCAAATACTGTACATTATTGTAGGTCCTCTATGGCCCGCCTCTCTCAAACGCTTAGTTTTCTACAAAGTCCCTCCTTCCGACAAGCGCAGTCTGCTCTGATTGGCCAGCGGACCCAGTGCATTGTGATTGGCCGAACACCGCAAGCACTCGTCGGAAATGTAACTCCCCTTACCATAATCGCGGGCTTCATCTTTCAAAATAAATGTCATTAGTTTTACCATCAGTTCAAGCCCGAAAGGGGAACAGACACAGTAATGATGCAGTACACAAGCCACGGTTAAGACAGCTGACTCTACTGTGATGTGACGCTGTCTCTCTCTCACACACCCACGCGCGCACACACACACACACACACAC